TCGGGCCTTTATTCCCCTCTAAATCAGCCTCAATTGTGCCCAATTATGGTAAGATTATCACCCAGGAATTTTACCTTTCTTTGGCTCCAAGTCAATTGTTCAACTCCTAATTTTCCCCCATCACCTCAGTTTATTTGACAACAGAGAAGGATCAAGTAAACCTTACCAAAGTTCGAAATCCATCCCTCAAAATCTCTCCAAAAACTTACCCTTTCTCGCCGCCTCAACCAGCCTCCTAGCCGACGACCCACAGCCTCCACAAGCACACAGCTGAGGACCAGGGAAACAGCGAGACGCCCTTGTTGCCGCAACTTGAAGGCGAGTTCACCCGACAACTTGTCCTTCTGACGAACTGCAGTACCACCACGTCAAGGCCGCAACACTTAGCAAGCCACCGCGTGCAGCATATACGGCGAGTCTCTCAGCATGCGAGCACCTCCGTCGCGCCCAGCACCCACCACGAAAATGCCTTAAAGCAGCCGCGGGCCTCCAATAAACAGAAAATTATTGAGTGGAAAGTTGGGCTCCCTTGGCCGTGAATTTCTGATCAAAATGAATGGGCCATTTTTTTTTACCTTAGTACTAATTAACAGGAGAGAGCATGGCAGTGGCAAGTCTTGATGGAGGAAAAAAGAAAATGGGGTGATAGCTGAATAATAATGGGAGATTGGAATGATATCAGCTGTCAAGAGGAGAAGAAAGGGGGCAGAGCTCGACCCAATAGTAGTTTCCAGGGATTCAATGAGTTTATTGCCAAAATGGGCATGTTTGCTTCAGATGGATGGGCATAAGTACACATGGGGGAACAACAGGGAGGAAGAGGGGTTTGTGGAGTAGGTACTTGATAAAGCCTTTGCCTCATACCAGTGGATGACCAACCACCCTCAAGCCAGAGTTAGAAACATGTTCAAAAGTGCATCAGACCATAATATGTTGCTAGTTGAAGATGGTCATAAGCCAATGGGTAAGCAGAAAAGGTTTCACTTTGATAAACGGTGGATTCAGAGTGGAAAGTTGGGCTCTCCAAGCCAGATGTTTATTGTTGATTAAGTTCCCTTGAGTATTGAGTGGAAAGTTGGGCTTTCTCGGCCGTGAATTTTTAGCCGAAAATTTAGTAAAAATTATGCCTTGTTTGCTGAAGGAATTATAGCCTATAAGCCTTAAATTCTCATGTTAAAAAGTCTTGGGAAATTCAACTTTTATGCTTTGGTGTGATGCCTTGAAAAGAATGGTGAGATTTTATGAGAAAAGTCTGATTTTTATGAGAATAATTTGGACCTTGAAAGCCAAGTGAAACCATTGAAAATTTTCGAACTTAGTTTCCTTAAAACCCTAGGGTCAGTACTTGGACGTGGGCTGCCGCACGCCGGGAGGTCTCGATGCAGGAATTGCATGCTAATCGGGTAGCCAAATAGTATGCGGGCACAGCTGGGCACTGGCCGTGTCAATCTCGCAGGCGCCTCACGCAGGCGCGCAGTGTGCCATGAGCCACACCCAGTCGCTCGTGCAGTGTCGCTGCTGCTGCTGTCCCAGTTCACGCGCGCCCATCCCCGCAACTGCCCCGTGAGCATCCCGAAAGGCATACGCGCACGTAGTCTCCCGTGCCAGCTCACTGTCCCAAGCCTCGTCCCAGTACGCAGCAGCACCCCAGTAGACCAGCGACCAGAGCCCAGCAGCTGCGGCCGTTCTTAGCGTGCGCGAGCGTGCGCCGCGCTTTCTCGCGCCTGCACCGAGGTCCCAGTAGCGAGACTGAGGTCTTCCCATGATCAGTGTGCAGGGCCGATTCGCAGCATGTCGGGCAGCGTCGGGCCCTGTCATGCAGGGCGCGCCCGGGGCCAGCCGTGGTCAGACCTAGAAGAATTGATCAAGAAAACAATATCCAAAAACTATTATTCGGGCATTACTCAAAAACTCTTTTCTTTCAATCAATCAGAGGTAGAGATTGAGGGTGATATCCTGATAGAGGAAACTCCTAGGCCCAAACTCGAGAGTCCTTTGTTCGTTCCACTTTCGTCATGTTTTTCTTGTTTATTTTATGCTTATTTTTCCCCTCCTTAGGTATTTTTCTTTGGTTTTTGGTCCGTTTTGAGTCGTTTCGTGCATTTCCTTTGTTTTAGTCGTTTTTTTGCTCTTTTTGTTCGTTTTTCCCAGTTTTCCGTATTTCTTGTCGGTGGTGATGTGCAGGTTAGGTAGCGCGGTGCATGGCCATGCGAGGATTACCATCTAGATGGTTGAGTTGGGGTCGTATTGGAGAAGACGGGATGAAATTCTGAGTTCGGACGCGAGAACACGAACCTGAAAACATGCCGTGCAGAACCCTTCACTGCGGCCGTGGAAGAGGGGAGGTCGCGGCCGCGAGCTGTCCGAAAATTCCCGTTTCTGTTCCGTGGATGTCGCGGCCTCGGGGACGGTCGCGGCCGCGGAGCTTTCTTCACCGCGGCCGCGGGAGGTTAGGTCGCGGCCGCGGAGGTCGCGACGAGCAGATTTTTAGTTCGGATTTTTGATCAGTTTTTCATTACGTTCTACCTAGGTTTTGAACTCTCTCTCGTACTTTTTCACCCCAGAACTCAATTTTCTCTTATCTTTCACTTGGAATTGATCTTGCATTGTGAAATCACCAAGATTAAGCTTAGGATTTGAATTGTTCGTTGCTTTTCGACATTGGATTCACTATTAATCGTAAGCATTTCTTTTCATTTTGTGTATGGATTTGATGGCTTGCTTAATTATGAATTGTTGTGTTGAATTGATAATGAGTAGCTAAACTCGTAAACTGGGGTTAGGAGATAATTGTTCCGGTTCAGTTTCGTTTATGTGCATGTTGATTACTCAATCTATTCGAGTAGTGTTGAACCTAGGGTTGAATTGATTGATCACCATTTTAATCCATTTAATCGATTCTTAGAACCGAAAGGGGAGGAATCGATCGATCTAGGCTCGTTTAGAATAGACTTGTTCGGAGACGTATTGTCTATGTGCTAATTGACTCGATAATTGTTCATTCATGCTTATTCTCTTGTTACGTGAGTTATTGAGAATGAATCTTTGAAGGAGTGAATTTTTTGTGTCCTTTGGCCGAGTGATCGATTGTTGTTTAATGTATTGAGAACCGGAAACGATTGTCCCCGACACCCTAGTCATTCTTATCATTCTTTGAATTGAGTTTTGGAGTGTGAAATTGGAATTGCTTGTTTGAATATCATTAGTTGTTAATCGCGTAGTTGATAATTAAAACTCAACCATTTGAATTAGAGTGTTTAGGATTTGTTTTCTATTTTCGAGTGATTGAATAATCGTACAGAGTAATCCGGCTGACCTTCCTTGCGATGCGACCCGGTGTTTGAATCTTTCGATTCTACTCCGGTAAAAATAACTACAACAAAATGGCGCTGTTGCCGGGGAAGGTTTAGGACTTATTTTGTGCGCCTATCCATTTTGTTTTTAGTGTTTCTCTTATTTTTGTGATTTCTTGTGTTTTTCGGTGTTTCTCTTTGTTTCGTTTTCTTTGATTAGTTCTAGTGTTTTCGTGTTTTGTCTTTCTTAGTCTTTTTTCTTATCTATCTGGTGCCTATGACGTTTTTGTTGTTTTTGTTTATGCGTACCAGGAGTGGTCGTGTAATCATCCCGAACAACGAATCCATCCAGAGGGATATACGAGACTTGTTGGCCAGCCTTGCCCCTGAATCTTCAGACTCAGCCAACCGAGACTCAGATAGCCAAGGAGACATGGCACACAATGGTGATGAGGAAGTGAATAACCCACCTCGTCATCTTCTTCGTGATCTGGCTCAACCGATAATCGGGTCAGTGACTTCATGCATCCGACTGGGACCAGCAGCTCGGAACTACGAGCTGAAAACAATCCACTACAACCAACTACCTTCATTCCATGGTCTACCCAACGAAGACCCACTCCATTTCATTCGGGAGTTTTATAATGTCCTCCAGACCTTCTCTCTCCATAACCTAAACGAGGACCAGCTGAAAATGAGGTGTTTCCCCGAAACACTCAAGGACCGGGCCAAAGCGTGGTTTATGACACTTGCTCCCGACTCACTTACCATTTGGGAGCAAGTCTACACCAAGTTCATTGGGGAAATACTACTCCCATCAGAAGACGCAGGAGTTTCGGTCCCAGATTGTTTCTTTTGCCCGACAGCCAAACGAGCCACTTCATGAGGCGTGGGAGCGCTTCAAAGACCTCCAGAGACAGTGCCCACATCACAATTTCCCTCCGGCCTTACTGGTGAACAGTTTCTATGACTCTCTCCACCAGAATCTTCAATACATGGTGAATAATGCAGCTGGTGGAGATACCGGGGCGAAGACAGCAGAAGAGATGATAGATATTTTTGAGGCGATGAGTTCTAACTCGTCTCAAAAGAGCAGTCGAGGGAAGAGGGCTTTTGTCAATGAAGTATCTCCCGGACGAGACATGATGGCACAACAGTTAGCCGAGCTCACGGAGCAGATGCGGCTACTGAATGCAAGGGGAGGCCAACCAATGCAGACCATGGCTGTAGAGGCATGTGGAGTCCAAGGGCACAGATCGGAGGTGTGCCCCTCGGTATTCGATCCTGACTACAGTGAGCAATATACAGACGCCAACGCTCTACAGGGCTACCCGAACCGGCCGGCCAACGACCCATACTCCAACACATACAACCCGGGGTGGAGAAACCACCCAAACCTCTCGTGGTCGAACAACAACAACACCCAGCAACAACCTCGACAGAACTTCATGCAGCAGCAACCCCGCCCTAACTTCATTCCCAAGAACCAGATGAGACCGAATTATCCTCAACAGCAGCAACAGCAACAGAGAAGCCCAATGGGAGGAATGCAAGCAGAAGGGACGGGCTCCAGTCAAGCAAATCAGGACGACAAGCTGGACAATTCTCCAATTCATGGCAAACAGTGAGCAAAGGGGCGTGAACACCGATGCTTCTATCAAACGCCTAGAAACGTAGTTGGGCCAACTCGCGACAAGAGTTGGGAACATGGAGGCCGACTCAGACAAAGGGAAGTTGCCGAGCCAACCTAAGGAAGCCCAAGCCATAACGTTGTTGAGAAGCGGGAAAGTGGTGGACAATCACGTGGAAATGCCGAAACTTGATGAACCGAAGCCGACCAACCAGCCCGTGGAAACAAACGAGAGTGCAGAGAGGAGCACAGAGACCAATTCGAGGAAACAGATAGACGGTTCGAAGATACACAAGTCACCAAATCCCTTCAGACCAAGTATTCCTTTTTCGGACCGACTCAGGAACGAGAAGCAAAAAAAGCAGTTCCGAGATCTTTTCAGCATGCTCTCCAAAGTGAATGTCAACTTGCCGCTCCTCGACGTGATTAAGAATATGCCATCATATGGTAAGTTCTTCAAGGACTTGGTGACCAAGAAGAGGAAGTTTGAGGATGGAGAGAAGGTGGTGGTGTACGAGGCTGCGAGGGCCATGCAGCACGACTTGCCCAAGAAAGAACGTGACCCCGGTGGTTTCATTATCCAGATAGCATTGGAAAATGGGAAGGTAGCTTCGGGGATGCTGGACCTCGGAGCCGAAATAAATCTCATGCCCTTCTCGATTTTTCAGAGGCTCGGCCTTGGGGATTTGAGGCCAACTCGAATGTGCCTCCAGTTAGCAGACCGTTCCATCAGGTACCCGAAGGGAATAGTCGAGGATGTGCTCGTGAGGGTAGGTAAGCTTATCATTCCAGTGGATTCCGTGGTTCTAGACGTTGGGGATGTGCACGAGAACGGGAAGGATCACACAATCCTTCTCGGGAGACCTTTCATGGCGACAACTAACACGCTCATCGATGTGAAGAACGGTACTCTGAATATGACAGTTTTGGGGGAGACGGTGTCTATTTCTGTCCGAGAGGCAATGTCCTCATCCTCAGTCAATTTTGTAGAGGAATGTTCTTTCATTGACCTTCCTAACCCTTTTATTGATGAGATGGTATGCCGGGAGTTCGAGGAAGTATCGTTGCCGGCCTTCGAGGAAGAGGAAGGGCCTACAGTAGAGCTTTTTGAAGTAGGAGAAAGTCATTCCCGAACCGAGACCATACTTGAGCTTAAGGAGCTGCCCAAGCATCTTAAGTATGTCTTCTTAGACGATGCCCAGCAGAAATCGGTGATAATCTTTGCTGAGCTTGACAGTGAAGAAGAAGAAGAGCTGGTAGCCATGCTTCGAAAGAATCAGAAAGCAATAGGGTGGAGCCTGGGAGACATAAAGGGGATCAGTCCATCTACTTGCATGCACCGGATTTTCTTGGAGGAGGGAGCCAAGCCGTTTCGGGATGGCCAGTGACGGCTAAACCCGAATATGATGGAGGTAGTGTAGAAGGGGGTGCTGAAACTCTTTTCTGAGGGATTGATCTATCCAGTGGCGAGTAGTGAGTGGGTTAGCCCTATTCATGTGGTGCCGAAGAAGGGAGGCATAACCGTGATCGAGAATGACAAGAAGGAGTCGGTTCCCACCCGCATTACTACCGGGTGGCGCATGTGCATTGACTATAGGCGACTGAACGCTGTGACAAAAAAAGACCATTTCCCGTTGCCGTTTATTGACCAGATCCTTGACCGTCTGTCGGGCCATTAGTTCTACTGTTTCTTAGATGGACTCTCGGGCTACTACCAAGTGGCCATAGCACCTGAAGATCAGCCCAAGATGACGTTCACTTGCCCCTTTGGCACCTTCGCATTCAGACGGATGCCCTTTGGCCTATGCAATGCACCGGGTACGTTCCAGAGGTGTATGTTCTCCATCTTCTCAGATATGCTTGAGGACTGCTTGCAGGTATTCATGGACGACTTTTCTATATTTGGTGATTCATTTTCTCATTGTCTCCGTAATTTATCTAGAGTCCTTGAACGTTGCATTGAGTCCAATTTGACTTTGAGCTGGGAAAAGAGTCATTTTATGGTTAGAAGTGGAGTTGTCTTAGGTCATATCGTTTCATGTAGGGGGATTGGGGTCGATAAGGCCAAAGTGGATGTTATTGAAAAGCTCCCCCCTCCTGTGAACGTTAAGAGAATTAGGAGTTTCTTAGGGCATGCGGGGTTTTATAGGCGGTTTATTAAAGATTTTTCTAAAATTAGTCAGCCGTTGTGTCATTTTCTTGCTCAAGATGTGCTATATGTTTTTGATGATGCTTGTTTGAATGCTTTTGATGAATTAAAGGGCAAGCTTGTGAGTGCCCCTATCGTTATTGCCCCTGATTGGTCGATTCCTTTTGAAATCATGTGTGATGCATCTAATCTTGCAGTGGGCGCCGTTTTGGGTCAACGAGTTGATAAGTTGCTTAGAGTGATTTATTATGCTAGCTTGACTCTTAATGGGGCCCAACAGAATTATACTACCACCGAGAAAGAACTTCTAGCCGTGGTCTTTTCTCTAGAAAAATTTAGATCCTATATTTTGGGGTCTAAGGTCATTGTTCACACAGACCATGCGACTTTGAAGCACCTTTTGAGCAAAACTCATTCTAAACCACGGCTCATCCGGTGGATCTTGTTACTACAAGAATTCGATGTTGACATTAGAGATAGGAAAGGTTCTAAGAATGTAGTTGCTGATCATTTGTCACGCATAGTACCATCTGACTCATCATCTTCATTGATTGTGCATCATTCTATTAACGACAATTTTCCTTATGAGCATGCGCATGAAGTGTCGAAAAGTGTTTGGTATGCTGACATTGCGAATTACTTGTGTTGTGGTAAACTGCGGCCTGATCTCTCCTCCCAAGAGAGAAAGCGTTTTCTTTCTGTGTGCAGGGATTACTTTTGGGACGAACCATTCTTTTTCAAGATGGGGAAGGACGAGGTGCTTAGGAGATGTACTCCAGAAGAGGAGCAAACCGATGTCCTCACATTTTGCCATGAGTTTCATTGTGGAGGTCACTTTGATGGCCAGAAGACCGCCTTTAAAGTACTACAATCAGGTTTGTTTTGGCCATCACTTTTCAAAGATGCTCATACCTTTTATCGCTCTTGTGATCGGTGCCAACGATCTGGGAATATAAGTCGCAAAAATGAGATGCCCTTGACTAATAACCTTCAAGTCGAAATTTTTGATGTCTGGGGCATTGATTTTATGGGACCATTTCCTAGATCTAATGGCTACGAGTACATTCTACTTGCCGTAGATTATGTGTCTAAGTGGGTTGAGGCCATCCCCACAAAGACATGTGATGCTAATATCATGATCAAGTTTGTGCAAGGATATATATTGAGTAGGTTTGGGTTTCCAAGAGCAATTGTGAGTGATGGAGGGAAACACTTTTGCAACAAGCTTTTCGAGAAGCTGATGAAGAAGTATTGTATATCACATAAAGTGGCTACCCCCTATCACCTACAAACTTCAGGCCAGGCGGAGATAAGCAATAAGCAGATAAAGACCATCTTAGAGAAGACGGTCAACTCATCAAGGAAGGATTGGTCGAGCCGGCTTGATGATGCGTTGTGGGCTCAACGAACAGCATACAAAGGCGTTTTGGGAATGAGTCCATTCAGACTAGTCTATGGGAAGGCTTGCCACCTTCCGGTGGAAATTGAACATAAGGCTTTGTGGGCGATTAAGAAGACTAACTTTGAACTGGACGCCGCCGGTAAAGCTCGATTGTTGCAACTCTCGGAGCTGGAAGAAAGAAGGAATGAGGCATATGAGAATGCCAAAATCTACAAAGACAAGGTGAAGCGACTCCATGATGCGCACATTGTTCGAAAGGAGCTGGTACCGGGCATGCAAGTCCTTCCCTATAACTCTCGACGTCGTCTATTTCCGGGAAAACTCAAATCCCGGTGGAGTGGCCCATATATTATTGATGAGATGCTGAGTTATGGAGCTGTCAGACTCCGGAATCCAGCGAATGACGAGCTATTTACGGTGAACGGGCAACGAGTGAAGCCTTACTTCGAAGGAGAGTTCGGGAAGTGTCATGTCGAGACGGTGAGTCTCGGCGACCCAGCTTATGCGTGATCGTGAAAGTGTGTCGAGCTCCCGGAAGTAAACCGAGTATCCTTTGTACTGTTGTATATCTCGTTGTATTTTCTTCTCTTATTTTATATACTTTTATATTAGTATTTATATATTTTCATTTCAAAAAAAAAAAAAAAAAACAAATTGTCGCCGCGGGCCGCGAGGCTTTTCTAAGCCGCGGCCGCGGCGAGTATACTGTTGAGATCTGTAATCAATTTCTACAAGTAAATATTCGCGGCCTCGGAGGTTTCCCGCGACCGCGGAGGAGGGTCGCGGTCGCTGCACTTTTGTTCACCAGGGCCGTGGCGATGTTTTTTTGGTCCATGGGCTCCGAGTCCTGTTTACAAAAACTCGCGGCCGCGGAGAGGAGTCGCGGCCACGGCGAACAAATTAGCTCGCGACCAACAGAATGTCGCGGCCATGACATACGCGATTAAAGGGTATTAAATTGAAAATGTCGGGCATTCTCCTCACTTCTTTTCTCACGAACAACGCCTCTACCAAGCCCTCCACCCTACCAACATCAATCTATCATGATTCCTTGAATCATTTCATCAAGTTGTCATCACAATCAAAAGCTCTTCCTTCCGGGATTTCTTGCAAGATATTGTACCTGCTAGTTCGAGTTTGGCTTCGGGAGAGGAACCCTAGTTCTTCTCACAGCCCCGAGTCATCGCTGTCGCCGTCGTCTCTCCAGCGAGGTTCTCCGGTGAGTCTCTCCGACCGTCCCCTCCTCAGTCAACCGGCGACCTCCAACCACGAGCCCTAGCGGTACAAATTCCGTCCACCTCTTGTTCTTCCTACCTAGCTCGTGGTGTGTCCGTTTTCGGCCCGATTTCTCGCACAAAGGTACGATAGCTTACTCTACTTGAGGTGTGTGGTTTGTTGAGGCGTGAGGAGGCCTGCTCCGGGATTTACAATCTCGAATTATTCACAAGCTCTTTAGTCCAAAGTATCGCACGCCACGTGTTTGACATATTGCCCGATAGACCGTTTAAATGGACAAGAATCCGGTTCGTCCCACCAAGAAGAAAACCGTTCAAGAACCGGCTAAGAAGCGCAAAGCGGGCGAATCCTCCTCTCGAGATGCCCCTCCGGAAGGTGACCGAGATGACCTTTCGGACCAATACAGTGTCCCGTTCCCGATTTATTCTAGGAAGGAGGGCGAAATTTATGCCCGACTCTCGCAAAAAGAGGTAGTGAGACCGAAGGCGGTGGATTGGGACCTTTTGAACGACATGGGCATTCTGGAGAACGTGATGAAGTACCTCAAAGTCTTGAACTTAACCGACTATGCCAAAATTGAGGAGAGGTCGCATCGAACCCTTATGCTTGAGTTCTTCAGCTCATTCGTTCTCGCCGATGGGAACGAATACTTCACTTGTCGGCTCAAACGGAAGGACCTCATGGTGGACAATGCCGTGATGAAGGAAGTTTGCGGTTTCACCTTCTCCGGTACGCGAAGCAAGGCCATCGACTTCGACGCCAAGAAGAGTTGGGCCGAGCTTTCCCCGCATACAACTTGGGATTCCGCCGGCATGTCCAACGGGCTTATCCAAGACCTGGCCACTGCCGTTGTGCATCAGTTCATCTGCTACAATATTACCGGCAAAAAGGAGGCGAATAAAGTCAGTGAGGTTGAACTTTTTCTCTTTTGAGCGATGCGGGCGGGGGTGCGGGTGTGTTCTATGACTTTCCTACAGAACTCCTTACAGGAGATTGCCCTCACTCGGCGTGGATTACCGGCACTTGGGCATTTTATTACCGCACTCGCGCATTACTTCGACATCACTCCAGAAGCCTACAGATTACATGGGGAGATAGCGCTTCAGGAGAGGTCTGAGATGCGATGTCTCAACTATAATGAGCTCAAGAAAGCCGACCTTATTCAGAACCGGACTACAGCTAAGGAGTACACACAGTGTACCGCCTACGACACCTATTTTAAAAAGCTCCAGGAGGGTCAGCCTAATTTCGATCCGGTAGGGTCATCTCGGCAACTGACGGCGGGAGACGAGCATGAGCAGATGGATGTCGATGACCATTTCCTTCCGCCTCCACCCACGTGGACGCCAAACCCGAACCCACACTCTGAGATTCCTCCACAGCAGCCACCGGAATGGTGGTCCACATTTCAGACTCAGTATACAGCCGACATCCGCTTTATCCACGATCGCTTCGATGCCCAGGATAGCAGATGGGCTGCCCTCGAGAGCCGACAGACCACGCAGTGGACCAGTTAGGAGACCCAGCAGCAGACTCGGTGGGACCATTGGGAGACCCAACAGCAGACCCACTGGACTCAGATGGGTACACACTTCGATAGCTTTGCTGGCGGTCTCCAGTCCATCCGCGAGCGGCAGGACCAGCAGGACGCTCGGATGAACAGTTGGGACCAGAGATTCACTCAGTGGGACACCTGTTCGAGTTCGGGTCCAAGTCCAACCTCACAAGCCACCATCACCTCCGGATGCACAGTGACTTGTCACTGTGCTTTGTATGTTCTCTTTTTCCCTTTCTCTTTTATTTGTGTATAGCTTCTTTGTTTTTGTGTTGGTTAATTATATGGTTTACTTTTCCTTCACCGCGAATCGACAATGGGGACACTGTCTGATTTTAAGTGTGGGGGAAGTTTTACGTGCTTACGTTACTATGTGGTTGGCAGGTCCAGTTTCTCTTTTTAGGTTTGCGTTTATTTATTTATTTCTTTTCTCTTGCTTGGTGGTCCAGTATAGTTTTTAGGATTATTTGTGGTGTCTTTGTGAGCTTGGACTTTGGTGTATTGTAAGAATGGTTAATGATTGGTTAATTGAGTTAGGAAGTTGTGAAGATAAGAATGAGTGGCACATTTTGATGAATTGGCTTGGTTGTTTTGTTGACATTTATTTTACCTTGTGAGGTTTTGAGCCACATTCATTTCTTTCTTGTGAGTTATTGGTCGGAATCGTTGTCAATTAGAATTTGCCTTGAGTCTGCTATGAAATGAAATAATTGGATCTGTGAACGTGAATATGATTGAGGCATTCTTTGTATTCCCTTTCCCTTTTCTTTTTCTGAGAATAATTTCGCTAGTCACCCCTTTTGAGCCTTACTGATTTTCTTTCTCTTACCTCGTGACGATGATATTGTGGAGTTACGTGTGTGGATTGGGAGGTGATTCGTGTTGGTATAAAAAATAAAAAAAGAGAGAGAGAAACCGAATGGATTATGTTAAATGTCCAAAGGTTCTCACACAAAAAAGGGGAGAAACCGAATGGATTACGTAAAATATCCTACGGTTTTCACACAAAAATATATATGTATAAAAATAAAGTTTGAAATGTTGAATAAGTAGGTCGTCGGTTGATTTTGGAGTAGTGGGAGGAACCGGTTGGTGTCAGCAACCGGAGGAGTTCATGATTACGGTTATCCGATTGAGTTGAGTTGATTTTTGTTTAGCCAGTTAGCCTATATTTATCCTACTCGGTCCAAAGAGCCTACGTTACAACCCTTTAAGTCCTCTCGATTCATTGTTTCACGAATTTGATTGTTTTATAGTAGGAGTTAGACGATAGACAAATTTATGATTGATTCGACTGATGACCAATTTGAGTGTACCCAGTGATACTTGAGAAAGAAATTGAGTGAGGCATATATGATACACTTCTGTACTCGAGAGTTGATGTCATTCAAAATAGTCAAGTTAATAGTTGAGGTGTGTGCTTGTGATCATTTTAATTCTTATTGACTTGATTGATTGGTTTGAGATTAGTCTTGCTTGAACCGTTGTCCTTGCTCGTTTGTTTGTTTTTCTTTTCTTTTCTTTTCTTTTTGTTCGGGACGAACAAAGGTTTTAGTGTGGGGGAGTTGTTCGTTCCACTTTCGTCATGTTTTTCTTGTTTATTTTATGCTTATTTTTCCCCTCCTTAGGTATTTTTCTTTGGTTTTTGGTCCGTTTTGAGTCGTTTCGTGCATTTCCTTTGTTTTAGTCGTTTTTCTGCTCTTTTTGTTCGTTTTTCCCGATTTTCCATATTTCTTGTCGGTGGTGATGTGCAGGTTAGGTAGCGCGGTGCATGGTCATGCGAGGATTACCATCTAGATGGTTGAGTTGGGGTCGTATTGGAGAAGACGGGATGAAATTCCGAGTCCGGACGCGAGAACACGAACCCGAAAACATGCCGTGCAGAACCCTTCACCGCGGCCGTGGAAGAGGGGAGGTCGCGGCCGCGAGCTGTCCGAAAATTCCCGTTTATGTTCCGTGGATGTCGCGGCCTCGGGGACGGTCACGGCCGCGGAGCTTTCTTCACTGCGGCCGCGGGAGGTTATGTCGCGGCCGCAGAGGTCGCGACGAGCAGATTTTTAGTTCGGAGTTTTGATCAGTTTTTCATTACGTTCTACCTAGGTTTTGAACTCTCTCTCGTACTTTTTCACCCCAGAACTCAGTTTTCTCTTATCTTTCACTTGAAAATGATCTTGCATTGTGAAAACACCAAGATTAAGCTTAGGATTTGAATTGTTCGTTGCTTTTCGACATTGGATTCACTATTAATCGTAAGCATTTCTTTTCATTTTGTGTATGGATTTGATGGCTTGCTTATTTATGAATTGTTGTGTTGAATTGATAATGAGTAGCTAAACTCGTAAACTGGGGTTAGGGGATAATTGTTCCGGTTCAATTTCGTTTATGTGCATGTTGATTACTCAATCTATTCGAGTAGTGTTGAACCTAGGGTTGAATTGATTGATCACCATTTTAATCCATTTAATCGATTCTTAGAACCGAAAGGGGAGGAATCGATCGATCTAGGCTCGTTTAGAATAGACTTGTTCGGAGACGTATTGTCTATGTGCTAATTGACTCGATAATTGTTCATTCATGCTTATTCTTTTGTTACGTGAGTTATTGAGAATGAATCTCTGAATGAGTGAATTTTTCGTGTCTTTTGGCCGAGTGATCGATTGTTGTTTAATGTATTGAGAACCAAAAACTATTGTCCCCGACACCCTAGTCATTCTTATCATTCTTTGAATTGAGTTTTGGAGTGTGAAATTGGAATTGCTTGTTTGAATATCATTAGTTGTTAATCGCGTAGTTGATAATTAAAACTCAACCATTTGAATTAGAGTGTTTATGATTTGTTTTCTATTTTCGAGTGATTGAATAATCGTACAGAGTAATACGGCTGACCTTCCTTGCGATACGACCCGGTGTTTGAATCTTTCGATTCTACTCCGGTAAAAATAACTACAACATCCCTCACTTGAGCCATCCCTCTGCACCATCGAGAAGGCTTCATTTAGCTTGACATGCTCCATGGATACTCTCGTATTCCGAGAGGTTGATTGTGGAGGTTTGTTGAGAAGAGCTCTGGGTCGTTTCGTTGCTATCCTTGGTGCTCATGCTCGATTCCACAAGAATATTGCCACCCGAGCCCACTAGGTTTGCGGTCATGCCACACTTTCCATGTTGCCGCTTCTTGAGGATACAAAGGCGTGGCATGCTCGTCACTTCTTTTTGAACCCCGGCTGAGTCCTCACAGGTTTCGTCAAGCTAATGACGTTAAACAAGCGCTTCTTGGGAGGCAACCCAAGTGTTTTGTCGCTTTTGTAGTTATTTTCTTTTTGCTTTTATCTTTGAATAATGAAAGTTTTGGAGATTTCTTGTTTTCTTGGCAGGAACGAGTTCGAGAGCTCGAGCAGGGAACTCAGATGAACGTGAAAGATCAAGGTTCTGGTGTTGAGCATGAACGAGCGGCTCGCATGGGAATGCTTACTCTACTCGATGCATCTTCGGTTTGCACACCTTTTCTCTTTTTGTCTTTTTTAGTTGTTTCCCCTTCTCCTTTTCTGAGTTTTGTTGTTTTGTGTTAACTGCTAGTATTGGTTCATTGAAATTGCTAAGTATTGTTTTCTTTGACTTCCTGGATATGTGTTGAAGCAATGAGGACATTGCCTCATTTTAATTGTGGGGGAGTTTACTTGGATTTTGCATACTTATGTGGTGGACCGGTCTAGTGTAGGTTTTGTGTGTTTATGAGCATGGACTTTGGAAATTTCAAGATTAGTTAAGACTTGTTTGATGAATTCGATGAGTTGTGATGTTGATCATATGCGGCATAGCGTGATGAAATGTTTGGTCGATTACTTTGATTGGCATTCATATATCTACCTAGTGAGGTTTGAGCCTTATTTGTTTCTTCAGATACATTGGTCGTGCTCTTGTTTGATTAGAACTTGTCCTGAGTCTGCATTGAAATAAATTGATTAGAATTATGAACTGTGTATATGATTAAGGCGTTAATTGTATTCTATCCTTTTCTTTCTCTATAAATTATTCCCTAGTCTCCCCTTCTCGAGCTTTATTTGATTTTTGTTGATAACCTTGTGATGATGACGTTGTTGGAGTTGCGGGTTAAGAATTTAAGGAGATGATGGTTGGAGTTGTTTGTTGGAGTTGTTTTTATGTTTTTCAATGAAAAAGAAAAAAAAAATAGAAAGAAAGAAAAAATAAAAAAAAAAGAAGTCGAATGGATTATAAAATGTCCAAAAGGTTTGAAAAAATAAACAAAAAAAAAAGAAACTTAATGAAACTTAAAATGAAGTTTTCTTCAACTAACCTATCTTGCTCCCACTAACCTTTTGGTATATACATTGATCCATGATGTTTTCTTCAAAACCAAATGAAGTGATAACTTCATGAAACTTAAAATACCACTGTCGGGAGACTTGTTTCAGCCCATATATTGATTTATTAAGCTTGCAAATTAAATGCTCACCCTTACTAGAGGAAAACCCTTCAGGTTGTTTCAAATAAACATCCTCTAGTAAATAACCATTAAGAAATGTCGTTTTCACATCCATTTGATGTAACTCAAAATCAAAATGAGCTACTAATGCCATAATAACTCGAAGCGAATCTTTCTTAGATACCAGAGAGAAAGTCTCTGTGTAATCAATTCCTTCTCTTTGAGTGAATCCTTTTGCAACAAGTCTTGCTTTATATGTTTCGATGTTGCCTTGTGACTTTCTTGGTTTTGAAAACCCATTTACAATTAATAGGTTTCACACCTTTTAGGCAACTCGATGAGATCCCAGACTTTGTTTGATGCCATAGAATCCATCTCTTCTTTCATGGCATTATACCATAAGTTTGATTGATTCGAACTTATAGCTTGTGAAAACGTTTCAGGATCATTTTCAGCTCCAATATTGCAGTCACTCTCTTGTAAATACACAAAATAATCATTAGGAATTGCTGACTTTCTTGAGCGAGTAGATCTCCTTAGTTCTTGATCAGCAACTTCCTAATTTCCAGAATTTTGTTCAACTGGATCAGAAATATGCTGAACTTCAGGATCTACTAGATGTGGTTCAACATTTTGTGGAATTTCCAAAATCGGTTGTTCAACATACGCTTGTACTTGGGGCATATTATTGACAACAGTCATGCTATCACTTGCAATGAGATTTCTAGAATAGTCTCTCTTAGAACTAATGTCCAAAGATTGACTGCTCCCACTGACCAAGTCATTTTCAAGAAATTTTGCATTTCTTGATTCCACAAACCTAGTGTTATGAGATGGACAGTAAAATCTATATCCCTTAGACCTTTCGGCATATCCAACGAAATACCCACTTAATGTCCTCGGGTCCAACTTCTTTCTTTGAGGATTGTAAACTCTCTCTTCAGACGGACATCCCCAAACACGTACATGTTGCAAACTCGGTTTTCAACCTTTGAATAACTCAAATGGAGTCTTTGAGACTGCCTTAGTTGGAACTCTGTTCAGTATGTACACAGCGTTTTGAGAGCTTCATTCCACAAAAACTTAAGAAGTTTGGAACTAGCGATCATACTTCGCACCATGTCCAATAAAGTTAGATTTTTTCTTTCTGCTACACCATTTTGATACGGAGATCCTGGCATGCTATATTGGGCAACAATCCCATTTTCTTGAAGAAATCCAGCAAAAGGACCAGATGCTTGTCCACTTTCAGTGTATCTGCCATAGTACTCACCACCTCTATCTGATCTCACGATTTTTATTTGCTTTCCGTATTGTTTCTCTACTTCAGCTTTAAAAACCTTAAAAGCATCAAGTGATTCATTCTTATTGTGAAGCAAGTAGAGATACATAAAACATGAATAATCATCAATAAATGTGATAAAGTACTTATCACGATATGCATCTGTATCAGGACCACAAACATTCGTATGAATTATTTCCAATATTTCAGAACTCCTCTTGGCACCTTTCTTTGACTTGTTAGATTGCTTGCCTTTAATGAAATCTATACAAGTCTCAAAATCAGAGAAATCTAGAGTATTAAGTACTCCATCACTTACTAATCTCTTAATTCTGCCAATGGAGATATGACCTAATCTCCGATGCCACAGGATAGAGGAATCTTAATTCATAACACATCTTTTAATACCAGCATTATTATGAACGTGCATAACTTTATAATTATCATCATTTTGCAAATCAAGTCGAAAAAGACCATCAGATAGTATTCCACTACCAACAACATTTGATTGAAAAGATAAACTAAAATCTGAGTTTGAAAAGTTAAAAGAAGAATCACACTTTAATAGTCTACATACCGAAATTAAGTTCCTAGCAAAACTAGGAATATAAAAAGTCTTTTCCAAATACAAAACAAAACCATTACTTAAAATTAGTTTGCACGTTCCTACTGCTTCCACATGTGAGGGCATCTTGTTTCCCGAATAGATGCTATGCTCACTTCCCACTGGTTTCTGCAGGTTTAGCAATCCCTACAAGGAATTGGTAACATGTGTTATGATTAACATCAACCATATTGGATTCATAACAAACAAAAGAAAGTTGATTACCTTTCTTTTCAAGCCACTTTTGGAACTTAGACAATATTTCTTCACGTGATTTTTCTTTTTACAGAAAAAAACACTTGATTTTCTTCTTAATTTTCCTTTGAGGAGGAATTTTATCCTTCCCTTTATCTTTGGCTTGAAAATGTCTTTTCTTTCCCGATGTAGTAGTCATATTCACTTGCTCACCCTCTTCCATAGCAAAACGTCCTTCTTCCTGAACACACATGGTCATCAATTCATTTATGGACCATTTATACTTATGTGTGTTGTAGGATATATATCTTAAAAAGACAATATGGAGAAGGAAGTGTACACAAAATGAAGTGAACTAGGAAAGAGTCCGACATCTCAACTTCAAGTGTCTTTAGTTGAACTGCTATATCCCTCATGCGCGTGATGTGCTCACGCACACCTCTTATTCTGGTAAGCTTTAGAGAAGAGAACTTCATTATAAGGGTACTGGCCAATGCCTTGTCAGAAGACACAAACTGATCATCAATTGGCTTCAATAAGACACATACATTGTCATATTGCTCGATCGAACCCGGATCCCAGAAGAAATTTTGGTTTTTATAAATATAACGCAGAGACGATTAGATCGTTCCCACCTTTCATAAAGAACCACTTCGGCTGGGGTGCTTTTATCAGTTATAGCAGTCGGTTCGTCCTTCCTAATGGCAAGTCAATGTCCATACACCCCAAATGAAGAAGTATTTTCTCCTTCCAAATTTTATAATTGTCCCCATTGAGCTCAGGAACATCAATTTTCATATCAGAGTGATTAACAAGTTGAATAACTGCAACATCAATAATCATGCTCATATTCACAAATTTTGAAACTAAGAAAATAATATGACATGTTATATCAATATAGAACACGTCTAAACATAAATCTAGAGACATAAAACTTACCTATGGGCTAAAGTTCTAATTCAATTAGATTTACAAACTTCATGATAAAACTATCAAATTACCACCATTTTCTAATCCCTGTGTGCAAATTAGAAAATTAATTTGACATTTTATCCTAATTATTCACACAGATATAGTAGAAATTCCTGTGGGATAAGATCCACCATATTTTATATGAAAAATCACAACATATGTTATATATCCATATGTGGTTACCAACAAAATTAATATATAATTCCAATCAAATAAGGATGCTGTGGCTACTCCTTAATTAATTAAATTTATATTCACCACACAACATAAAATAATAACTCATATAATTGTAAATCTATAAACAATTATTTATCTATGAGCTATCAAGATTAATATTTGTAACATGCTTGATAACATAATTTTATTGCATGCATGATTAATAAATTTAAAGCATACAAATAATTCAAGCATTCAAGCATAAATATATCAATCATAAAACAATACTTGAACAAAATTTTAATATCAAAAGCATGTAAAAGTTCATTATGATAATACTTATAAAATAATACCAACATGCTTGATAATACTTATGCTAATCAGTTTGCAATAACTGTAAAAGCATGTACAAATTCATTCTGATCACATAAAGAGAATAATTGCATATATTCATCCAAATTCATGAAACATCACATATATTCATGAAAATTTATCAAATTCCATATTCAAATCCGAAAAGAACTCCATGAACAAATTAAATTAATAAAAATTTAATTCACAATTCCATGGAATAAGAACGTATGAAAACATACATAGCACAAGCATGACAGAGATTGAACTCTGCTCTGATACCAAATGTAAGAACATTTATCCGATTTAATCAAATATCGGTGCAGCGGAACGATCGAAATTACATACCTCTAACCATTACTTGTGTATGTTTGAGTTATTTGAAGAACTTGTATAAGACAACGATGAAGGCTTCGGCACGTTCACTTTTATTCGGTTAGGATCTTCTAGGCTCTTTCACTTTTTCTTTAGATGGTATAAGATGCAGTAGTCATAAAGTGATGAGCCTAGGGACCTTTTAAAACCGATGGTACCCTTTGGCAGAAATGTACCTTTTGATATATGGTACCTATTGGTATATGGTACCTTTTGATAGAAAGGTACAATGTCTACTAATTAATACTGTCCATCATAGAATTAATAGGTGATTAACAATATTTGTACTCTTTATAAGTATGAACATGTGGACCACATTAAATTATCTTGTTTATACATGATACAAGATAACTAAGAAAATAAAATACTAACAGTAAGTTTTCAACGCTAAACTTCTAGATCCGCTGCGCATAGGTTTATTGTTGTTATTAACTCATGACTTGTGCATAACGAGATCCTTACCGATCCCAACAATGTCGTGGTGGTCGAAGGTTGCGGTGGTCAGGGCGGAGGGGTAGTCCGTGGTGACCGAAACTCTGTGGTCACTCGGAAGTTGTGTTGTCTATGTTGTGATAGGTGTGGTGGTTGTGAGTTGGGTTGACGCAGAAGAAGGCTGAGGATTGATAAAAAAAAAAATAGGGACAGCTCTGGCCGGAGATGAGAAATTAATGGTGGCAAGGATGATGGAAAGATTGTGGTGGCCAAATATTATGAGAAATTAATGACATTTGGTTTTCCAGGTCAGGCACGTCCATAGGTTGGCAGTGGTCCATTGGGAATGTTGATCGTAATTGGCCCGGGTCTGAAGGAAACAGTCGGGCCTAGCTTATGGGCCCAACTAGAAGAAAAAAAGCTTTGAGCTTAACTTCTTAAATGGCTCAAGAAGATTAAGATGGCCATTTCTAATCAACCTCTCTATCTCATCCTTTAGGTGCCTACAATTGTCAAATGTGTAGTCATAATCACGATGAAAAAGGGAATACAAGTCAGACATTGGCTGCGTAGAACCTTGCTTCCTTAATAGGGCTAAGTAATCATGTCCTCACTCAATCTCTTCTCCATCATCTCTAGTACCTCCATCGAGTTAGTCCTCAAGGGAGTGTACTTTTTATATCTAGTCCATTTAGGATTTTCCGACCTCTCCACAAATCTGTCACTTACCTTCCAACCTCTTTTTCCTAGGTGAGCTCTCTCTCTATCTCTTCTACCTCAATTCGAGCTGCTTTTTGAAATTTTGCAAACTCATCCTCAATTTTCTCCTTTTTGATGCACTTAGCACACCTATGGTCCACATCATCAAATGATAATGCCGACTTTTTAGCCAACAAGCTCCGACATGGTTCTGTTCGCAACCCTCTCGTGAAGCCCTGGCCTTGACCTCTTCAGAGGCAGAAGGTACATCCATACATGAACGAGAATAGCGAGCTACATAGTTCCTCAGGGATTCACTCTCTTGTTGTTGCATCTCCATTAAAGTGAGCTAGGTGTTCCATTGGGACCTAGCACGGGAAAAGTGGTTGAGAAAAATAGTTGAAAGAACCTCAACGNCTCCGCAAATGACAAGACAGGTCAATGGATCCATCATAGGTGATCCTAAGTTCTCTTAAACCACTAGGTAGATTTGCCTCGAGCACCTCCTGGGCGAAAGGATGTCCACGAGCTCTCCTAAATCGTTTTCCCTTTACTTTGGCTTGCAGCTTCCGAATCTGAGCCGCCATCCTCTCAACTTTCATATCCCGTTGAGATCCTAGGGCCGAGCTGCTAAAAATCTCAGCCTTGTCTCTCCTTGTTGATTCAGTGAGGTTCACTACACTCTGCACCTGTGTTTGTAGTTTTTAGCCGAGTACGATCAAAAGATCGACCTCGGGTCGTGTCTCTCGAGGAAGGTTGTTTGGAGCTTCGTTCACTATCTAATCTTCAATTCACAAAACCAAAAATAAGGTCCTGAACATGCTACTTGCTTGGTTGTGGGTTGATTTAAACTACATTAAGCTAAGAAAATGAAAGCATTTGAGGAAGGATTAGATTTTAAGAAAAAAAGATTTGGAACTTTGGTTTACGGAAGTCTCCATAACTCAAGAAAACGATGCGAACAAAGTGATCCTAGGTAATTTAACACGAACTTTCTACACTAAATCATCACGCTTTTGGGCATAGTCGAGACCTTTACACAAGATAAGCATGTATTGAATTCCTAAAACACTTACGCAAGCAATGAAAATAAAGCAAAGTCCTAAAATAGAGCATCACACAAGATTCCGGCCAAAACACCAACTCAACAAGCAAGAAGGAAAACAAACTCGAAGTAATAAGCCCTAATCAAGGTACTCACTTTCCTATCGCAAGCTCAGATGAAAATAATGTGGAAAGCTCGAATCTTGAACAAAAATAAGTCGCTGGAATTTCGTCGGAAAAATTGAGTCATGGACCTCCTACACAAAGTTAGAGAGAGAAAAAATAAAAAGAGAGTTAATTTCCTAATTAAAAAGTTGGGAAATGAGAGGTGGTGTCCAAAAATACAAAGCACAATGTCTATTTATAATTATACCACAAACACACACTAAAAACACACACATTTAATGAATTTTGAAGTTAGCCGGTCTCAAAACCAATTTCGCAGCGAGTGTGTAGTGTGGTCTGCCAGGGTCGCGTTCGCCGGTCTCGAAAGCAAGTTCGCAGCAAGTGCCAAGGTCACGGGCGCGTTCCTCGGTCGCAAACTCGAGTTCGCTATGAGTGTGTTGTACTGATGGCTTCCTCGGGTTGTGTTCGCGGGTCTCGAAAGCGAGTTCGCAGCCAGTGTCGCTGGAGCTGCTGGGGGTGCTTATTCGTGGCACGCGAACTTGAGTTCTCAGCGAGGGCTACATGTGGTGGCTGTCTCTGGTCAGGGCTCGCACGCTCGCGAACCGTCGTTCGCTGCGAGTGTGCATTGTGGCGTTTCGCGCGATTGCGACTGCAGTTTCGCGGCGAAGGCTCGTGGTCTCGCGTCTGGTTTTGCGCGCTCGCGAATAGGAGTTTGCTGCAGTGGGTGCCTGGTGTGCGGGTTCAGGCCCAGTTATGGCCCGGGACAGGTCGGGTGGCTCAGACGGCTCCTTTTCCCAAGCTCGGCAAAATGGACCTAATCAACATGAAAAAGACAAGAAAAATACGGCAAAACACAAAAACACATAACGAACGCAAAAATACAGGAAATGCGATAAAATAGACCGGTTGACACTAAAATGAACCTAAAAAGACTCGACTAAGACACATAAAACACGCAAAAATAAGCACAATAACACAATAAACAACATGCGTTGAGCAAACCTTGTTACAATAACTTCTGCTATCGTCAAATGAAGCTCCTCGCTCGTGAGGGTCATGACCTGCTCGCTCGCTGGGGCCCCTTATTTTGCTGCAGATGGTCTCCTCCCTTCGGCATGCGGTGGAAATTGTTGTGTTGAAAGTACGGGGACCACCTCCATGCCCGATCTACCTTCTGGCTGAGTAATCGAGTCGACGGTTGGTTCTACAGAAAACGAAGAACCTTTAAACTTCGAGAGGTTTGGAATAAAGGTGATCAGCGTCAGAATAGACCTCAAAAATCCTGGTGGTGGACCTGATTCTATTGGACAACTGGACAATCAAGCTTCATCAAATTTGGGTTCGTTCTTTTTGGGATCATCACTCGCCATGATTGGTCTTTGATGGTCTTTTGATCGAAGTCCTCACAGACGGTAGGTCGAGTTTCCACCAGGCTATCCTCGAGTCTTAACTCGACCTTTTATTTAACTGATTTTCCTCTTAAGTCCTAATTATAATCTTTCGACCTTGAGTCTTCATCCTGACCGACCACCGGCCGAATTGTCAATCTGCTCGAACTACTCGAGCTGCCCTCAGGTCGTTGGAGGTTTAGTGGTTGCTATAGTATATCATGTCATCTATATTTTAGATACATTTGAAATATTATCAATACATTGATACTACATCATATGTAGTATATCATGTCATCTATATTTTAGATACATTTGAAATATTATCAATACATTGATACTACATCATATGTTAAATTAGATTCTAGTGTATCAACCGAAAATCCTCCTTGGTAAATAATCTATACTACTCTAAAAGGACGAGTGTTTTTGTAAAAATATAAACTACCTAAAATAACCTTACTTTGACATATTTTTAATGGCAAATTAGTAATACACTAATACATATTTTATTTTATATTTTTAATTAAAATGAATTATCTAAAAAACACTTACTTTAACATGTTTTTAATGACAAATTAATAATACACTAATACCCATCATATCTTATATTTTTAATTAATAACAAATGCTTAATTAATTAAATACAAATACATGAACAATACATTTCACATATCCTAAAAATTAAACACAATATTCTTGCACCATTATTTTCTCACGAAATGGCTTTCTTCCACATATCTCCCAAAATTCAACCCAACATCAACCTAAACAACAATGTTTTGAAAAGATATATAATTGTTGTATTAAAAAATCGTGTTTTTAATACAACTTTATACATTATCTGACAAATTAGAAAAGTTGAACAATTCATTTAGCTACTTCATTATTTAAGAAAAATTAACTCCTATATTTAGAATTATAATAGAAATTGCACTTTAGTCTTACTGGATTAAATTTCGATCCCACAAAAATCGCCATTTATTTGTTTGTTTGTTTTTTCTAATTTTAGTTACAAAGTGAATGAAATTAACGAATTTTCACTTGACCATTAGATGGTTAATATCACGGTGAGTAATATTTTAATTATTAACACTTAAAATATATGAATTTTACATTCAAGGATTAAGTAAAATATATCATGAGATTTTAATTATTATTATTATTTTATTTAAACCACTGATTTTCAAGATGTGCGCTAAATAAAAGAACAATATGAAAGTAAAAAATTATTAAATTTGATGAATAACATTAAAAATATAATTAAGTAGTAAGACTTACAAATAAATATAAAAACAAATAATAAATAAAAATATTATAATTAATAAAAATAAATATAAAACTTTTAAAACTTATACTTATCGATGTAAATGAATATAATTGTTTATTTCTTTTTAATTTTTTATTAGTTCTATGTGTAAATTTTAGGTGATACATAATAGTTATTTGTATTTTTATCCATGTAGGTTGAAAATTTTAATATTAAGAAAAAATTATTATTTTAATTTTAGATATCCTTTTATTCGATATCAGTTTTTTTAATATAATATATAAATATCATATTACAATATAAAATAATAATTATTTTTGTTATTTAATATTTAATATGTAAAAGGTTATAATTCAATTGAGAAATTAATAGATAGTCTTAAGTTAAAATAACGAGTGATTTTTAAAAAGTTATATAGACTAAAAAGTTCATGTGTTTAACATATTTTTAATAAAAACAATTGTAAACGCAATTAATTAATGAAAAAACTACAACATAAAAATTTTAATGCTTAAAAGGAAATGCAATAAATAAAATTCTATATTGCAATGAAAAATCCAACGATAAGTTGTTCCACTAAAAATTCCAAAGGATATTTCATTTGCATAGCATTCATTGGAAAATATCACTAGCTAATCCAACATAGATAAAATTAAATTGTAATGGAATTTTAGTGGATTTAATGATTCGAATTACCATTATTTATTGTTGTGTGAATTCATTTGATTTTTGTTTTCGGAACATATTTCTACCGTTGGAAAAATTTTTCATTGGAACTGTAAAAAAATCAATAAAAGTTGCATTGGAAAGTTAATTGCAGTGGTAGATACAAATAATTTTATATTGGGAGCACTATTTAGCTAATA